TAAAAGTTTACATTAATCTCAATTATTTAGAAAGTAATGCGTGTACTAATTAAATGATAAAATCTATATACACAAATTTAAATGTTAAGTATGTCTGATTCTGTAATAAATATATAAATCTTTAAATAATGAATCATATGAATCATATGAGTATAAAAAAATTTTATGTCACTTAAACGAATCGCATATTTTTTCCATTATCTATCAATCATGTAAATAATCTAGCCACAGGTATGTGTAGGAACAAATAGTACGGTGTCTATAAATATGGAATTCTTGGCAACTGACGCTAATAAGCAAGTTGTAATTAATGGAAATTACTTTCTATATCTTATAGAAGTAACATATAAAATTTTACAGTAACATATAAAATTTGTAAACATATAAAAGGCAATAAAATACTTTAAACAGAGATAACAAAGACAATATTTTTTTTATTTAACGAATCTAATCAAAGAATCTTCGAGAATGTAGCATGTGACTTATTTTTAAGTCGAAATTAGAAAAAAAGTTGCAGTTTAATGACTATAGCTCTTTTTTTTTTCAGATGATGCATCGACAGCAGAACACCCAGTCATCATCTAACGAATTCGCGATGTATCCATCGGCCGCGTATCATTCCTCGTGTTCGACGCTACTCACGTCGACGTCGTCATCGTCGAGGTCGTCGTCCGCGAGGTCGTCCTGTCCATTATTGATGTCCGTCCTCACGTGGTCGCTGACGTTACTATTGATCTCGTCCTGCATCGGCCTGGGTGCGGATGCCGCCAGCCTTAGCGGCCATCCTCTGGGCAAAAGGTCGTTCTTCGACATCCAGTGCAAGGGCGTGTACGACAAGAGCATTTTCGCCCGTCTGGACCGCATCTGCGAAGACTGCTACAACCTCTTCCGGGAACCGCAATTGCATATGCTTTGCAAGTATGTTTAATTATCCACAATGACTAGATACTTTCGCGACAGTCGAAGACCGCGTGTTGCTGCTGTTGCTCCGTGACGATTTAGAGCGTAAAATCGATGGAAGATGAGATATTCGCAATCGTCTGCGATGACGCGATTGATAGAAACGTGGTAATCTTGATATAAAAAGGAATTTAAAGTTATGATCTATCATAGGATTGCAAAATTAGAAACCAGGGAATTGTTAAGAAATTTGCAAAATTAAAATTCTTGGGTTTTGGAATAAATTAGATGGATAAATAGCTAGATGTCAACTTCAATTTGAGATCTCAATTCGTGAAAAATAAACCATTAAGATATTCTAATTTTGTATTTTAATTTTTTATTTCAAAAATATTTAATATTCACATGGATGTATCCAAATGGATGTGTCCAAAAAGTTTTATATATATATATATCTCTGCTATTATTTTTTATTTTTTTATCATTTAATATTATATTATTTAAAATATATAATTAAGTATATAACATAAAAATATATTAAAAATATATTTCAATACTTAATTAGCAGTTTATTCCTCGAGATCTAATTTAATAATCTTCATGTTATGCTATTTGCAATTCGTAAGATCGATTTGAGGACTGCAAACTCGTTTTTTCATCATAACTCCACAATCTCGGAGAAGTTAAATTAGCAAATGCATATTTTATATTTGATCGAGAGATTCTATGCAGAAATAGATGTGACCGAAAAAAATTGAGTGTAATTCTAAGTAAGTAAGTTCTTGTGCATAATATGCGAGATTCATTTCACGGGCTGAGACGGATTTCTGAAAATATTATGGATAGCAGAAAAAAACTAGCCAGAGAAAATTCTACCGAGTTCTGACGGTGAAATAATTTCGCGAACGACTTCCGCCGTGTGATTTCTACCTTGAAAAATGTCGGCGGGGAACAACGCCAAGGTGGACGTACCTTTGTACGTATACACACACGCTTGCACACACACACACACACACACACACACACACAAAAATGCACGCGTGCTCTGCTCTCAGTATCGATACGCATGTATATGCAAACGTACGTACATAGAGGCGCGCGTTCACCATACGTCGGCACGCGTATCGAAATGGAATGAGATTTCTCTTCTATTTATAGCTCGTGTGAGCGAATACCAACGCACATCCGCTGCTACCTGCCGTTTGTGCCGCGCCGCGTTAAGCCGCTTAACGGCTGTCTCAAAAGAGCTATTGTGTGACGAGCGAGCGGGATCAACGTGAAAAAGAGACGGATTGACGAGCTAGCTCGAACGTACGTAACGGCAAGTAGCTAAATTTAGGAAAAATTTCAACCTTGTGTCAAGATGTGAAATGACGGGAAAAAGCAGACCCATTGAGGTGAACCTCGCAATTTAACGCAATTTAAAGAATATTGGCGGAATAATCAAATCTTTTCACTAAGCGAAAATATTATTTTTGCATGTATTTTTAAGTCGAGCTAAAAAAATTTTTTTTTTTTGGAAGTTTAATTTTTTAAGTTGTATTGCAATCTATTTTAATTTATTCGAGTTCGCGGTTTAGAGCCAGGAATTAGATTGAAATGAATTGAAATAAATTAATATCTGTGGGTATAAATTCATTTCTGTTCATGAATAGAAAATAATATGATTTGAAAATAAATTTCTTGTAAATATTCTTTTGATTTTACAATAACATTTATAATTCCTTCTTTATAAATATGACATATTCATTTCGATCGAAATAGGAGAGAATATTCCTATTCAATATTGTTACTCAATATTGTATTCAATATTGTACTATGGATATAAATTCAGGATTTATATATTTCAACTTTTTTTATTTAAACAAAAGTATGTATTTTCATAATTTTGAACTGTGATGTTCACAACTCAAAGAAATTCACAGCTTACAAATTATGTTAAAATTTTTTTTAATTGAAATGAATTCAAAAACGAAACTTCTTTCATAATTTTGAATTGGGATGTATTTATGGCTAACTTATTTAAAATCTAAATATTTTTGGACTCAAATGGATAGAAATATAAAATGTGCTATTCATGTTGAATTTGGATAATTCATGTTCATATTTATAGATATATTATGTTTTGATTGAAATGAAGTAAAATGCGAAATAAGCTATTTATTCATCACATTGAATATGAATGTATTCATGTGTGTATTATTTTATTTTTTTATTGAAATGAATTAAAATATTTAATTATTTTTTTATTGAAATGAAATAAAATGAAAGAGCTATTCATCACGTTGAATTCAGATATATTCATATCTTGAATGGATTTGAAAAACCAAAAACGCGAATTCGGAAATGTCGAAATGAATTCGTTTTTATTTATTTCAATTTATTCTCGTTTATTAGGATGAGAGCGATATGTTTTACGTTCATTCGTGAAACATTTTTCAGGATTTTCGAGCTACGAACTGCTGCCTACGAATGCAACTTGTGTTAATTGTGACGTAATTCATTATATTGTTTTAACTCTCTGCAGGAAGGAATGTTTCACCACGGACTACTTCAAAGGATGCTTAGACGTCCTGCTGCTAACGGACGAAGTCGGAAAGATCCAAATGTGGATCAAGCAACTCCACGGAGCTGATCCCGGGGTTTAGGTAGCCTTTTCTTTTTAGTTTATGATTTCTCCCTTTATTTGCCCCTTTTTATGTTCTTTCCGCTTTTCGCAAATATAAAGAATTAACTATGTCCGCTTGCACTTCCACTATCCTTCCTCGTCTGCTCTCGTCTCGATATACGTTCACTCATCGGGAAACATTAAATTGTTTCTCGATTTATTTACGCAATCTTTGCATATAACGATTGTACGTAAATATCTTGTAATATTTGTAATGCTAAGTTTGCCGTAAGTAATGACGAGTATATAAAAAAATCGTGAATACATTAAGTGATCGAGTTGTGCTTCATCAATCGCAGCGATGTTTGGATCAAAAATTACGTACAAATGTTTCAGAAACTATTAATAAACGATAATATCTAGTAACGAGTAAAATGAATTATTCGCCGAGTTAAATAGCAAACGCATTATCGAATATGGTTGCATTCCATTTCGTGACACAAGTATCGTTCTATCTTTTACTCGTGGTATGTCAAGAAAGATAGAATAATACTTTTGTATCGACTTATAGCAGTAAAGTATTGTAAAAGCCTGTATTGATAATTCGTAAGTTTGTGTAGGAGAGATTAAGTTCTGAACAGAAATAGATATCGGGATTGATCGAGTTTCTACTTATCCCTTTTTTTGAATTTATTATATTCCCGTTACAATTACTTTCAATTATATTTTTGTTGCATTTTGACATCATCCCCTGGACGAATATCCACGCGTATTATAGTATCTTCGCATCGAGATAATGAGTATGAGATATTAGGTAATTCTACGCAAGAGAGAAAGAAAAAAAAGAAAAAATCTTATAGTAGCGAGCAATGCTGCAATAGATAAAGATGAAGTGTTGGAATTTATCATAATAGAAATTATAAAGAATCTTAGCATCTTCTTCGAAAATGTTGGCGAGTAATAAAATAAATTTTGAACAATAATTAATACGAATTAATATGAACAATTAATAGAAATATGAATAATATATCTAATCTGTTAATTATGTTTAAAATTTAATTTGACAAAATGCAGCATCGCTGGCGATGTAATATACAGCATCATCTCGTACATTCTGACTTCACATTATCTACATTCAGAGAAAATACAAAGTGATAACAACTATAAAAGTAATAACTATACAAATTTTATATAAAATTAACTTATATATACAATAGTTGAAAAAATTATTTTATAATTAATTGTAAAATAATTTATTCAACTATATATACATTAATTCTACATATAAAATTTGTGTAGTTGTCACACCTTCATAGTTGCCACTACAATATGTTTTTGTCTGATTGTGAGTGCACTTTGACGTACCTTTTGACTTTTTGGAGACAACGATTTTTCTACTGTTTTTACAAGTTTGCGAACGAATGTTTTACATTTTGATTTTTTATGCCTCTTCGACATTTTTTTAGGACAATGATTAAGCAGATTGACTAGAAATACTTTTTTCTAGGTGGCGATATCTGCGATTTTGCGCTGTTTGACATTTTTGAATATTTTTGTGATTTTTTATAACATGAAACAATTCGCGCTCTACTCGTGATACATTAATTCTCGATGTAGAGTGTCGAAAATCAAGCCTTCCTACACGTGTCCCAATGTCTCCCTACGCACTAACAATTACTAACTATCACAGATTTGTTCGCTAAATATGCCTATCAATACGAAATGTCGATGCACATAAAATTCTCAAGCTTTCTGTTCGAAGTGCTACTTGCGAATATCAGAATTGTAACATTCCTATTCATTTTTCAAAATTTATAAATAAAAATGTGTGAAATATGTACGTTATTATTGAATCTATGTAAAAATTGTAACTTTTTAAATTTCAAAACTAATGTAAAATTTTGCTATAACCAAAGTTTTTCAACTATTTACCAATCTATTGAAACAAATTGCGAACAGATCCAGTGAACGCATTAAGTTTTAGTAATTAATCGGTATTCACCAATGAACTAATTGATTTTTCTGTTCTCGATCTTTGTTCGAATCACAGGCAAGACTGCTTCAGCACACAATACTTCACGAGCTGCATCCAAGCGCTGCTGCTTGAGGACGAGAAGGAAAGGTTGCAGGAGATGGTCGAGTACCTAGGTCGCAAGAAGTAAACGGAACATGGTCGGAGCAACGACGCGCCGCACCACGAAGGAGACACGTCACTCGGCGCACACATCCTCACACATATATGCATGCATACAAGTACACGCATACACATACAAACATACATATGCAAAGACCAAGAAGTAGATCGATGTAGAACACGGTCTGAAAAAAGGATTACAAGAAGAACGAAGAAGTGGACCTCGGCGCGACGATCATCATTGTTTCGCGAATTTCGAGGAGTCTCGAGTCTTACGAGATTTAATTCGATACCCTTCTTCACCTGAAGAGGGATGATCAGACGTCGCATTGGAGAACAGTGAACACGCCGAGCGAACCGCGTATCGATCTCCGAATTCCGAAGAAATCGTTAAAATCTTTGTCAGAGTCCGGATAGTTTCATCTGGAGATGATAAACTGGAGAACGGTACGGTAATACTTACGACGTCTATGAAGTTCAGGAAGAACTCGCGGTGAGAAATTCACGGCCACACGGAATGTGCGATCAATGCGATTCATCTGCCAACTCGAGACGTGGTTTTGATGTCCACGTAATAGCGAGGGATATCGCGAACGTCGTTCTGTACTAACATCGGCGAGTACTCGCGGTGCGACGAGAGTACGATTGAGAGAATTCGCAGGGAAACCGGGAAGAGAGACGGCGATCCTCTTCGCGGTGAGTCGCGTTGTTGCTTGACACAACGAAGAACGAAGTTACACAATAATATACTAAATAATGAGCCACGGGGAGCGAAATGATACGATTGAGCCATACAAGTAAACACTCACACACTCACACAGCGAATCTATACGAATTCTAGTCGATAAAATATCTGCGCTCTCGCGCACCACGCCACTCGTTTTTTTTTATTCGATTAATCATTAATTAATTAATCGCCATCATTCATCACTATGTAGTAATAACGGTAATCTATATTATTATTATTATTATTATTATTATTATTATTATAATATTATTATTCGATTATTTTTACGTCAGGATTATATTTTTATTATTATCGCCATTCTTCATCCGTTTGTTGTTTAATTACTGAGCCTTTAGTCGTTTATAAAAAATGTACGCGCGACGGACGAAGAAAGTGTTGGTAGTTAGAATACATCGCGTAACACAGATATAATACATATTTTAACGTTTTTAGGCATACGGAAAAAACAATAAAAAACAAATGTGGGAATTTGGCGAATATTTGAAAGAAGATTTTTTTTTATTCGGCTAAGTATTTTAAAACAGACAATTAAGAAGAGTAGATCGAAGGTCCATCGGTCGTTCAAATCGCGACCGCATTATTAATATTATTATTATTATGTCATAGTAGAATTATTGTTGTTATTATTGCAATTTATATGACGACGTTTTCGCCGAGGTAAACGCACCGGGCGTTACGGTGGAAGAGATGCTGACAATGTCCAACGATATTCAATTATGCGCGAGTCGAATGTATATGTGACAATGGCTGCGTTCAGGAGAGAAACATTTTTTTTTTCTAAAAATATTAATTGGTATTAAAATATTAAATATATTAATATCAACATGATGTGAATTTTAAATCTATGGTGTTTATAACCATCATGATGTGGATTTAAAATTTATGGTATTAAATTATGTTGGTATTAATATTAATGAATATCAACAGTAACAATTATATCAATACTCCATATCGATATTTTTTAGAGTAAAGCAGCTTCGAAACTGTTATAAAATTCTTCAATGTGATAGATCTTGCCTTTAGTTTCTGTTAATGGATCTAAATGTATAAATCAATCGAATTAAAGAATTTTACAGTTGCAAAACTGCTTTCTCTGTTGAACGCAACCATTCTTAAAAGCTTCGTGAAAGAGGCAGATAAATGAAGAGGTATCCTGTACTTTATTTGCGAGCGACGTTGCGAGCAACGGAGAGCGTCTTCTTCCGCGCCCGTCCGGCAGACGGAGTCGCGCACGAAACGCGTAGTATTTATTTATTTTTTCACGTTTTTAAGTTATATATAAGCGACACATAACGAAGCAAGAGTATTAGCAGCGCGCATACCTAGCCGAGGAAGCGATGTCTCCGGGCATAATGGGGTAAGACACGCGTCCTCAAATGTTCAATTGGCTGATTGCCTAAGTGTATACGTAAACAATCCCGAGAGAAAGTCAGTCTGAGGACTTATCATCGAAGAACCCAAGATAAATAGAAAAGAATGGCACACAATGAGTCGATCTCGCGAGATGCCAATGAAAAATAGAAAAAATTTTGAAGTAACTCAATTGGTAGAAATGTTAAATTAATTTAAGTTTTTGTCGACAAGTTTCGATTTCAATTCAACTTGCATCCATCAAATTGGCAAGAATAAATGAAGTTTACAATATTCTAATTTTCTATTTCTAGAGAATGGAAAAGATTGCGATTAAACGAAAATTAATATTAATTTTATTCAACTTCATTAGTCAAAATGGCTTTCAAAGTTTAAAAATCTGAAATTTCGAATTTTCTGATTTTCTCTCGATTTCGAAGATTCCGGAGGACGCGCTCCACGAAAATCCTACCTTGCCTTGCGACATCTTGTTTCCATTCTGAGAGAATTACGAACCATTCCAAAATCAGTATTGAAATCATTCCGTCACTGCGATCGTCAGGTACGGTCTTCGAGAACTCGAACACTTCGAGGCGAGGCTCAAATTTGTATAATTGCTCCGTCATACATTCCACTTATTTTACATTTGCATCTATTTTGCATTCATTTCTTGCACATCGCGAAGAAAAAGGCTGCGTCAACAAATTCGTAATTTTTTATGTTAAAAGTTTTTATGTTAAAAGAGGAAGATCGAGAGGCACATATTTACAATACAATCAATATGTGTTTAGATAGCGATCTTGCGTCTATTTTGTATTATTTTTTTTGCTGTCCGATTTTGTTGTGGTTTTTATATCATTTGTTTAAGATATAAAATTTGCAAGTTTGATTCATGCATTCCGAAGTGTTTCCCCTGAAGCCAGCCTGAATCTCGAACACGCGCGTTTTTTGGCGCATCAGAAAATCAGCGTTTTTATTTATGTAACGTAAAAGCATCATCCGAACAACGTGCAGCGCAATTATGTGCAGCAGCATCGATAGGTGGAGTCCTTTAACGTCACAGTTTTCATGAAAAATTGAGCGCACTTCGCGCAGTAAAATACTTGCCCTACATATTTCTCGCAGAAATATTTTTCTCACAATTTTATTTGAGAATATCTTATCGCGTCTCGACAGATGTATTCGATAGATGAATATTGTGTTCAGAGTCGCTGCAAAATAAAAAATCTCCGGGAGGATGGAATATCCCTTACAGAAATCTAATTTAATGTTGAAAGGTCATGATTAATTACATTCCATACAGCATAAATCTTCAAGGAACGTTCTAAAGACATCAGAAGATGTTCCTATGTCTAAAGACATTTCCAAGATGCCTCTTTGATTATTGATATTTATTTTGAGTATTAAAGACTAAAAAATATGAATGGATTTAACTCCATGTGGTATCTATATAATTCTCATCCTGTTAATGCTGATATAAACATCAATATGTATTTAACAATGAGCTTTAAATCTACATATGATATTGATACAAACACCAATATGGAATAGATTTAATACAAGTTTTTAATACATATTATGATGGTATTGATATAAAACGCCAAGCGTTTTAAATTCACACCATATTAATAATACAGTGAGAATTATATGGACATCATGTTAAATCCATATCCATATTTTTCATAATGAAAACACGAAACTACAATGCTTCAAATTAATTCAATTAATTACTTCAAATTCAATACAAATTAAATAATTAATCATTATCTTCTAGTAAATTTCTGTAAGGGACACGCATAATGCAAACAATTATCGCGAAACGGAACGACCGACGAAATAGGTTCGCGAACTCGTTTGTGAGCGTTAATTCGTCACTTCCCGTTTCGCACCTGTCGACGCGAGTTGCAAGCTGCGATTTGATCTTTCGTCGATGCACGCGGGAAAAAAACCTGTGCGTGCATGCGTGCGTGCGTGCACGACTGCGGATACGTTTTTCCGTTCTTCTCATTCTTTCTTTTTTACTTTTTTTTTTAGTTCTTTTCCTTTCCGACATGAATAAACTCGACATGAGCAGACGATGTGTGTACACTTTTACGAGACATCGTCGACTTTCGCTGGATAGTTTTTCTTCACATTTGCAAACGATGGTAACGACATACGCGTGAGATATTTTTATTTGCACACGAATACACGCAGAAATACAGGGAACGGGTGTAATACACGTGTCCGGAGATATGAAAAGGAAAAATATTAGTATATATACATATATATACGCATACTCAGATATACACATTATACGCGGCTAAATTTGAGAACGAAGATGAGAAAGGGCTGAGGAATCGTATCCTATTTAATTAAAGTAAAATTATATTATATATACATATAATATGTAATGTGTATACACCACATTTCGTATATGCATTTCGTGGATGCGTATGACGCGCGATATTGTATGTATATGGACAGATGTGTACAATGAGTACGATTAACGACACGGATATCCAAGTCTATTCTTGTTTTGCGTGAATAAACGGGTGAATCAAAAGCCAATATAACGATTTGTTAATTTTACCACGAAATCTCACATTTTCCTCCCTCTTTCTCTTCCCTATTTTGTAATCGCCCGCTCTTGTAATTGTTATTTTCATATTACATGTATTTAATTTTTATATGTTTATATATTTTTCAGTTGTTATATATTTAAATGTATTTCATTTAATAATTAAATATTTCGTTTAATTTAGATGTGCGTTTTTAATTTATTAAATAATTATATATCAATCAATATTCAATTGTAAAATTTTATATATATATACATGATATAAAAGACATTAATATATAATTATTAAATGTCAAAAATATAAAATTAATTTTAAATTTTATAATTAAAATTT